GATAATGATAATGTGTACATATTTATCATTGCGGGATTTAAGAAGTGGTGCAAACTTGTTTGAAGTAAACAAAAAACATGTACATACTGACTAATGTTTTTGAAATAAATGCTCTTACCTTTTTAGATATTTCTAGATAACACAATTAAAAACCGATGGCCATTGTTTTCCTTGTAATGTCGCGGGCGGATATTGACGATGGAGCGCCACTACTGCGCATGCACGGTAAAAATCGATCGCCCATGCGCATTAACTAACGTGGCTATAATTAAATGTCACTAAAAATTTAAATATTAGTTTCGAATATTGTTGCAACAATTGTCGCACACTATCTTTAACAATTACAGGTTGAATTTCAAACCATGATGGGTGAACATCCGGTATCAAAACAAACATATCCTGAAAATTTCAGCTAAATCGGTTTAGTAGTTTCCGAGTCTATAGCTCATAAACAAACACACAAACACACAAACATTGATATATATATATATATATATATATATATATATATATATATATATATATATATATATAGAGAGAGAGAGAGAGAGAGAGAGAGAGAGAGAGAGAGAGAGAGAGAGAGGAAGAGAGAGAGAGAGTTACTACACCCACAATTTCATTTTCGCTTCATGATAGTTTATAATTTTCTGAAGCGGACATGGACACTTTTGTACCGTTCAACTGCATTTTGCAGGTTGTTTACTCGTGATTTTTATTCCCCTTGATTATTTTACACGTTTTTTTATATTTTTGCTCCAGATTAAATTTCCGCATATTACGCTTTATCTTTCTAATTTTACTTTTTTTATTTGAATAATGACCGTGTCATTTTCTTCCTCTTATTATATATATTTTTGCCATCTTTAGGATAAAAATGTTTGTCTTGTTTGTAATTTGTGGATTCGTTGTATCTTTAGTTTTTTTTTTTTTTTTCTGTTATCCAATTCTTGCCATCTCTCTGTCTCTCTGTCTCTCTGTCTCTCTTTTCTTTATATATATATATATATATATATATGTGTGTGTGTGTGTGTGTGTGTGTGTGTGTGTGTGTGTGTGTGTGTGTGGTTTCAGGTTGAAATTGGCATCGGGCGGATATTTAAATGACTGACTCTAGCTACCACGTCGATCTATCATAAAATAGTTACTGGGAAATGTGGGAAGCAAAGGGAGTTGGTGTGATGTTGACCATATCAATCACCGAGTATCTGAGTGTCCATAAAAACATGAATTTAGCATAATATGCCCCATGCACAATTCAAAACAATCGGCATCTTTTACCATATTTAACTTATTACCGAATAATATGTTACGAATGTTACGAATACCTTGGACGGCCAGAGTAACTAACAGCGATTGCTTGGCAGAAGCTAATGAAAGTAGATCTCTATATACAACAATAACAAAGAGACAAACACTGTTCTTTTGCCACATAATGAGAAGAGAGACATTGGAGAATATCGTGTCAACTGGAAAGGTCGTTGGGAAAAGGGGTAGAGGCAGACCAAGAGAGATGATGTTGGATTTGCTAAAACGATGGTATGGAAGGATATCATTAAGAGAGCTGATCCATGCAACCAGGGATCGTGATCTGTGGAGACGCATAAGCGTACTTATTATCGCAGCTACTTCTGTATCGTTTGAACCATTACTGAAGCAAGTTTTCTAGAAGTCATTGAGAATACAAATAAGTGTTGTCCTAATGTGTGTGTGTATATATATATATATATATATATATATATATATATATATATATACATATTTATGTATATGTGTATATATATATATATATATATATATATATATATATATATACACACACACACACACACATATATACTAGCTGTACCCGGTCACGCGTTGCTGTGGCATAGTTTGGCTGAATGGAAAAGAAAGAAAATAGAAATCACACGTGTCTAATATGGTTATTGTCACAATCGTATGTCTGTGCACATACAGAGATAGTCTTCGATGCCCTCTACCCCCCCCCCCCCTTTTTCCCAAATCCACCTACTACTCGCTGCCTCATCAAAGGCTTTTGGAAAAGAAAGACATAAGAAATCGCACCTGTCTAATATAGTTAATGTCGCAATCATTCTCTGCACAGATAGAGATAGTCTGGTTTGCCACTTTAAAACACGCAACATATAATTGTGTCTTTATATTAGTGTTCGTTTAAATGGTATTATTAGCACAGTTTTAAAAAAAATGGTTATTAGGTTACCTCATGCTAAAGCTGTTTGTATTGTATTTATTTTTTGTAAGAGACGGAAGTAAAGCGTACTACTGTACTTGTAAATAAACAAGTAAGTCGTTAAAAAAAATGAGAATAGCGGAATTAGCGTTAGTAAAATATAAACAAATTAGGAAATGAAAACTTTAAAATCATGTGTTAAGCTCTTTAGGTAATCAATTTCTGTCATCACCCCTTCCCCTCCCCTCCCTCATCCACCGAATACTGCTCTCTCCCTCATCGAAGGATTTGAAAGTCATCACCCGACGATATTTTTTGTAACTGACCTTGATACCCCTGTCCATCGGGAATAAAATAGGGAGCAGGAATTGTAATAAGTAATAAATGCGGCTAGTGTAATATTTACCACACTATCCTTCAAGTACCAGTACAACTACAACCACGACCACCACTACCACAATAACTAAAATAATGTGACTGCTATCTGTTTTACCATCGGAGTTGACAGGGAGTCGTAAGCCAGAGTATTTGGCGCCGCAAGGCTAATGCTGTCGGCACGGACTGGACAGGTTAGGATGTGTAATTTCGCTCCCCGACAGAAAAATGCCATCACCTTACCGTCGGTCTCCGGCATGACAGCACTACGGTGTAACCGCCCAACCACAACTACTACTGCTGCTGCTGCCTTGAGTTGGTAAGGCAGTTACTGTGACTTAAAGCTCTCTCAGTTAACAGTTTATGCTACCCTTGCCCCTCCCAATTCACCGACTACTCTTTCCTTCATCGAAGAAGTTTGGAGAAAAAAACCAAGTGAAATGCAACGAAAACAGGAAAAACACACCATAATTACGAAATGAACTCTATGATAAACAACACAGCCTAATTCCAACGCAATGTCAGAAGAAATAATTAAATCGAAATGAAAAAAAATGGAAATCTATGAACATTCAGCGTAACCATGCAATCGGAAAGTTTGAAATGAAATCATAAGTATGCGAAATGGTCAAATTTAATTATCAACTGGTTTACCCACATACCTCTACTTATCTTTAGTATTTACGCCCACGTGGCTAGTGCTGTCGCCACGACAGTGCAGATCTAGGTTTTATTTTGTCCCACTCCTTCTGAGTAACGAAAAGAGAACAAAACTATGCAAGATGTGTGTCCCGATTCTAACACAACTCAAAACATATAAACAGATTTCCCAGAAATAAACTTCAAGTATTATTGAAACGGCACAGTAATATAAATCGTACGTGTCTAACACGGTGAATGTCGCAATCATTGTCTGAGCAGACATAGTCTTTAATTGCCCCACCCCCCCCCCCTTTTCTCAAATCCACCGACTACTCTCTAACTCATCGAAGATTGTTTGAAAAGAAAGAAAATAGAAATCGTGTCTTATAGGGTTAATGTCGCAATCAACGATATAGAGATAGTCTGGTTTGCTGTACCACGTCGGTGAATGGTGGAAGTCCTGCGTTCCGACTACAGCGCATGCGCATTTGCGAACGTGGCTTTAATTAAATGTTACTAAAATGAAAATATTAATTTCGAAAATTTCCCCAACAAATGACGTCACCTATCTCAAATAATGACAGGTAGAATTTCAAGACCATGACGGGTAAAAATCCGGTATCAAAACAGACATATCCTAAAAATTTCAGCTAAATCGGTTTAGTAGTTTCCGAGTCTATAAGTAATAAACAAACACACAAATATTTATATATATATATATATATATATATATATATATATATATATATATATATATATATATATATATATATATATATGAGGTTAGTTTTTTCCTTCTGGCGTATGTTTGCGAGATTAATACTGCCATGTGTACCTTTTTATACAGTAGCTTACTTGTTTCATAATTCAAGTGATCAGTCTCCGTTGCAACTTCACAGTAAAAGGTTCATCCCCATAATTGCGCCCGTGAAAAACCACACAAAATAATCTTCATTGTTCCATGTGAAAGTTCAAACAGATAGCAGTTCCGGCAAAATCCGACAGTTTGCACGCTCGTTTACAGCATAAAGCAATACCAGAGGTGCTAGCACTAACAGTTTATCATTTAAATCGCAGACTGTCGCTGATGAAGCAGCAATCCGACTAACCAACAGGTGTACCCGCAAAAATGCATAAGTGCCTGTTCTATGGCAATATTAAATGAACAATACAAATCAGAGGCTTCGCAAACGACCAGCATTCCACATGAAATCTACAGTTCACAGTGTCGTGCCATGCATTCAATTTATTAGCTGGCTGACGGAGCCAGATTTACTTTTACGTCGATTGTTGTACAACCACGTCACCAGCAGGGGTTGTAACCCCAACCTTCCACTGAATTGCTGGAAACAACCGCGTGAAGGTGAGAAAGGTTTGAGTTAGTAAAAGTTAAAGTGGGAGGATCGACTTAATTGTTTTATTCCATGTGGCTCAGTCTCTCTCCGCAGAACAGTTAGCTGCCTGTCGAGAGTGTCGCTTTGAGCACGACTCTATAGCTCCGGCTACGATCCCCAGTGATCTCCGTAAAAATTGCTCTCGTAAACTGGACGGCACCGCCATGAGACGAACCCGCTATCTTCAAAGCGTGAGGCAAACAATTTGACAACTTTGCCATGTAAAAGCCCTTAGGCTTAAGTAAGAGAAGCTAACAGACTTTAGGAGTCTGGTATTGCACATCACTGCTCTACTGGGACCTCTGATTCATAACTGTGTTTCTTCTGTGTTAACTGATATACAATTGCTAAATGTTTCGATTACCATGCTAATATAATGGGTTTTTTTCCCCTTTCAGTAATGGACAGTTTCCAAATGCCATCTTCCAAATCATGGGTGACCAGACTAGTCAGCTACAAGAGCTATTTATGTGTTGCACTGTGCAATCAAACGATATCTAGCCGAGGTAAGTATTGCATCTTCACAGGTTTCATTTGTATGTGTTTTCAGAAAGTGAACTATTATGTTATATTATGTTACCATTGTATGTGTGCAGCCAGTGAACTGCATGTGTTAGGTTCTTTCTCACTTGTATGTGTGCAGCCAGTGAACTGCATGTGTTAGGTTCTTTCTCACTTGTATGTGTGCAATCAGTAAACAGCATGTATATGGTTCTTTCTCACTTGTATGTGTGCAATCAGTAAACAGCATGTATATGGTTCTTTCTCACTTGTATGTGTGCAATCAGTAAACAGCATGTGTATGGTTCTTTCTCACTTGTATGTGTGCAGCCAGTGAACAGCATGTGTATGGTTCTTTCTCACTTGTATGTGTGCAGCCAGTGAACAGCATGTGTAAGGTTCTTTCTCACTTGTATGTGTGCAACCAGTAAACTGCATGTGTTAGGTTCATTCTCACTTGTATGTGTGCAGTCAGTGAACAGCATATGTTAGGTTCTTTCTCACTTGTATGTGTGCAGTCAGTAAACTGCATGTGTAAGGTTCATTCTCACTTGTATGTGTGCAGTCAGTAAACTGCATGTGTAAGGTTCATTCTCACTTGTATGTGTGCAGCCAGTAAACAGCATGTGTTAGGTTCTTTCTCACTTGTATGTGTGCAGCCAGTAAACAGCTCTGGTAATATTATATGTTACTGGTAAGCGTGCAGTCAGTGAACATCTACTGTTATTTCTCACGTGCGCGGGAAATTTTAGTTCACTTTCCCTATGAATACATTCAATGCAGAGCTTTTGTTCTGTTCTCTCTGTGCAGACAGTAAACAACATATGTAATTTTATCCCTGGTATTTTAATAATGCCCTACCCCAAACAGCGGAAATCCACAGGTCATGGACAGTCTAATATTTGAGGGGGTGGTATATAGGCTGTATGCAGTCGTGGGACCTAGGCTGCATGCAGTGTGGGATCTAAGTTGCACTCTTTCATGGGACGTAGGTGGGTTAGGGTTAGGGTAAGTTATAGACACTTTGGGTCGTTAAAAGAATCAGAAAGCAGAAAAACCCAGTCTTACGCCCTCTAAAATCTTAGACTGTCCTGTGACGTCATATGGGGGATAAATAATAATAAAGAACCTTATCCTTCGCTTGCTTGTCTGAAGTCAGTGTTACTTCAAGAATTCGTTAAAAAGTATTGTTACACACCACTGATGTCCCCCTTTAATAATAATACTTGGGAAGCATCTTTACACATAATGTTAAAAGAGACAGAGAGATAGAAACGAGAATCCAACAGGCCAATAATGTCACATACCCACTTGCTCCAGTTTTAAAACACCCAGCTATCCCAATAGAGACAGAAAGACAAATTATAAATATAGTATTTATACCGACTTTAGGTTACCAGTATCCGACTTGGAAATCGACAAAAGAACACGAAAAAAACTAACCACCCGTGTGAGGAGATGTTTGAGAATGGCTGTGAATAAAACCCGAAGAGATAGAGTTAGAAACGATGTGATCACAAGAACTGTTGGAACAACACCCATCGTCAATTTTTTTTGAGAAACAAAGAATGAAATGGTTTGGCCATCTCATGAGAATGAAACCATCAGTGCCACAGCAAGAGCGTAAATAAAGTAAAGATCCTCTTTCACGCCTAAAGGCGCATCAGGCAAATAGGAAGAGCACCCATATTCTTACAGACCAATCGGTACTAGGTGAGTAATGTCGTCAGCATTACGTCGACCGTCTTTAATTCGTCAGGACAGCCATCCTGGAACCCACTTTAGGCTGGGTCGACCTGCGACGCCCCATGCCATAATAAAAATCTATGTAGCCAGCTGTGGGTTTCGATCGCGATTAGTTGGAATTACGAGTTGGACGCCGCCGCACAGTAAGAGCGTACAACCTGAAAATTGAAACATCAAAAGGCAGGGGAAGACGGAGAAGAAGATGGATTGAAGCAGTCTCTGACACCTTGAGACTGCATAACATCACGGCATATCAAGCGACTGAGCGCGCCCTGGCTCATCTGTCGATTCTCTGATGAACTTCGACGCCTGGCGGCATAAGCAGATATTGACTGACAAAAGAAAGAAGGAAAGAATAATATTTTTGTAGGTAGCTATTTTACATCAACTGTACACTTAATGTAGACAACTGCTGTTTTGAAGCTGTAACCGTGGTGTCACAATCCCAAATTTTCGGGGTTCAAAATCAACAGCAAGTAATTTGTGATCAGTTTATGAGCTGATGTTCGGCTCTGTGGCTATGTCGATGCGAACGTTTCGTAATGCCGGGATGCCGGGTTCGATCCAAGCTGCGGGCCATGCGGCTTGCGTTGGTTTCGACAGTGGTATCAAGAAAGCCGACCGTCCAGAAAGAAATAGCAAACTACTGGACGTAAATTTGGTTCTGTAACGTCCTGTAAAAGATACGCAACTAACCTTCATGTGCTGCTTTCAGCAACAACATTAGTATCCTACACTTCAGAGAGCAATGAGAAAACCGGTGAGAGTAAAGTTGCCTAGTAACACAAAATGCCAGCTAACAACTGCTGGGTTGTGTTTGTAATGTATGAAAGAGGATATTTAACAAACACTTTAAACACTAGTTTATGTTTGCACATTTTGTGAATGGGAGAACATTTAGACATTAATGAAGTGTAAAGTAGCACACACTGGTACAAAAGTGCCCAGAAAGTCCCTCATTTCCAATTCCAGTTGTCCAACAAAAATTCCAAATTTGATCCTTTTTCAGCTGCCCTGAGGCCTGCTATATGAAGGAAGGTTCCTTGGCTTTCTTATTTGGTTTCCTTTTTTTTTTTTTAGTCACACCTGATATTCCGGATCTTTGCTTCCTAAGTCAAGTCCCTCATCTTTAGTTTTTATTTTTATTAGGTTTTCTCAAAGCAAAATGGTGCCTACTTCAGGTTTAACGTCATCGTCCTAGCGTTCACCGGCTGAAAAGTCTGACGGAAAGTTCAGATTGTTCGTCCACTTCTGGACTTAAGTTTTGTTCCATAACATGATTTTGAAGGATATGCTTTATTTGTATGCAAACTGTTGGTTCCTCGCCCCTCAGGCAGCTGCAATCCGAATTCGAGGGAAACACCCATTAGTACTTGTCTTTTACGACATCCTTGTTTGTGGATGGGTAGGAAAAAGTGGGGGGGGGGGTCTATTATTCCCCCCACACCCCACTCCATCCCCTCCCACCCATATGGAGCCCTTAAACTCACACGGTGACATGTTCTTTAAGTCTACAATAGCTTTCCCCAGATTCCACTTAGAGTAAGGATTGGTGTGGACCAGTCAGGGATAGTAACCCTTATATTCACTGCATCATCTATATAATTATATCAACCCTTAGCTCTCTCTCTCTCTCTCTCTCTCTCTCTCTCTCTCTCTCTCTCTCTCTCTCTCTCTCTCTCTCTCTCTCTCTCTCTTTCTCTCTTTCTTTCTCTCTCTCTCTCTGTCTATGTGTATGTGTGTGTGTGTGTCCGTGTGTATATGTGTGTATGTGTGTCCGCATACACACACACACACACACACTAAGCAGTAATTATATAAAACAGCCATTAAGAAGCAAACAAATAAACAAAACACGGAAGCGATGCCGAAATGTGGCAGTAATGTAAAATATATTACAAAGACTGAGCAAGATCTTTACTGCAGTGGGTAAAACAGCATAAAATAAAACATAAAGAGGTATGTTAAGATAATCAGGACAAATGACAAGGAGGGGAAAAAACAACACCTGAAAAAGAAAAAAAAAAACACGTGCATGTCTAGATTCAAAGATTATATACTAGGTAAAAAATTATAATAGATTTCATTATGCATGAATTAGGAAATATTTTTTTTTAAAGAAAATGAATACACATTATCTAAATAATTACGAAAAGAAATAGTTAATATTATTTTAGCCACTGTGGCATAGTGGTTAGTGCGCTTCCTTTCTGAGGATATGACCCGCGTTTAATCTTGAGTCGCTTGCTTTTATTTTATCTTCTTTTGAGCAGCTCTGCTCTTAGGTTGACTCAGATTAATTTAAATGGGTCTTCTTCTTTTTTCTCCACTCCTGGCAAGCAAAGTGGAATCATGACAGGAAGAGATCTCTCGTACGGGCCCTTCTGATCGCTTCTTATAAACTACTTTTCAGTGTCTCTGATATTTCTGCGGTCCATTTTCTGCGTGGTCGCTTCCTCTGGATCTATTACCGTTGTATCTGTATAACACTGCACTCGGTGGTGCCATGTCTTATGCCAGTTTTGTTACACGGCTAAAGGATTTCATTTGTTGTCTACCTATAAGTTTAGTATTAGCTATGTGACGACTCTGTCCTGATATCAATGTTCTTATTCGATTTTTTTTCCTCGTTACATCTAGCATAGTACGTAAACATTTAATTTATGTCGATTGGGTAACAGATAATTTAAAAAACTTTCGACAGTCAGTAAATTTGTGTGAAAGAAATGCGCGAGCAAGGAATCCGGTCACACTGTAACATACCTTGTAGCCTATGATGAGCTCATCAACCTTTCTACACCTACAGAACGTGAAAATAAGTTATTTATTTACCTATAGTACAGAAACAAATTTTATCAGAGAATTCATCAGAGGAAAAAATACCCAGCAGGGCATAAGAACTGGCTCGTTCTCTTACGCGCATGGGTAATAATCTAGACAAGAGATAGAAATACCCAACAGGACGCAAGAACTGGCTCGTCCTCTTACGCGCATGGGTAATAAATAATCTAGACAAGAGATAGAAATATCCAGCAGGACGTAAGAACTGGCTCATCCTCTTACGCGCATGGGTAATAATCTAGGCAAGAGATAGAAATACCCAGCAGGACATAAGAACGGCTCGTCCTCTTACGCACATGGGTAATGTGGAGACAGGAGATAAACTTATTAACGTGGAACAGCTGTGGTCTGGGAAGTGGACATTGGCTAAAGAACACAAAACCGAACTAACCATCTGTAAAATGAGATGTCTAAGAAAAGCCGTGGATTAGAATAATCCTGTGAGAAGAAATTACGAGAACTATTGGAATAACACCTACAAGGTCCGAAATTAAGTATTGAAACTGATTTTATTATGGCCAAAACAAAAATGCCATCTATGAATAAAAGCATGGAATCCAAAAAGGCAACCTTTGTCTATGACCTGGCAACTTTTAATCCCCGCCCGATAAGCAGACAACAAGCAAGCCGCAATTTCGTTAACCTAGTTAGAGGTGCATTGTTATGTAATAAGTAGGAAGGGAAAAAAAGCTAACAATAAATTCTGTTTAAAACTCATAAAAAGCGCCATTTCGACATTTGAATTGATGCGACAATTTTATGGGGATAATTAATTTCTTGTACACAGGTTTTCAGTTGGTATTCACGATTCAATAGTTGTGTGGAAATGGTTACTAATGCAACTACACCGAGACCCCCAGTTTATGTTCGTCATGAGGAACTCATTGCAAAAAATCAGAGAACGGATTCAAAAAGATCGTTGTTCGACTGTGAGGATAATGATAGATAAGTGTGGTGCTAATGCAGAGACTATTCGTAAAGTTTTAGTGGAAGATCTAGGCAAGAAAAAAGTTGCTTGTCGGTTTGTATTCAACACCTGGCAATTGTTTTCCTTCTTCATGACAATGCGCCAGCTCAGAGGGCAGTAGCTGTCAGATATATTTGGCCCAAAAACAGATGCGTTTTCTCAGCCATCATCCTATTTCCCAGATCTGTTTCACTGTGACTATTTTCTATTCCAAAAATTAAAATTGCTATTGAAAGGACACTTCTTTGACAATTTGATATCATCTAAAGGGCCGTAACATCGACTTTAAGGACCATATCGATAGCAGGACTACAGTGGTAATTCCAGTGTTTGTTAGGTCGTGCGACTCGCTGTATCAATGCACAAGAGGCTTGCTGTGAATAAAAAACAGGTCATATCTTTAACTGCTGATTATTTTAAAGGGATTTGTCTCATTACTTAATTGTCTGACCTTGTATATATATATATATATATATATATATATATATATATATATATATATATATATATATATATATATATATATATATATATATATATATATATATATATATATATATATATATATATATATATATATATATAACATTAGGTTGGACTGATTTTCCTCCGTTTATTTTCTGCTTTGTGCCGCTATTCGTCGTAGATTAACAGATGATTTACATCCTAGCCAGGGCACACCCTGTTGCCCAGCATGTCTCAACAGTCTCAAGGTATCAGTGATTCATTCAAACCATCTTCTTCTTGATCGTCCTCATCCTCTTGGGTGTTCTACTTTCACGTTGAACGTTCTTGTTGCTGGCCTCATTGGATTCATCTCACTAAATGACCAAACCAGTTTAATTATACCATGTTCGACAATTAAGTAATGAGAATAATTCCATAAAAATTAAAATAATCAACAGTTGAAGATATAATCTGTATTTTATTCAAATTAAGCCCCTTGTGCATTGATACAGCGAGTAGCATGATCTAACAAATACTGGAACGACCTCTGTAGTTCTCCGGTTGCTATGCCCCTAAAGTCAATGTTACAGCCCTTTGGATGTCATCAATATCGTCAAAGAAGCATCCTTTCAGTGGTAACTTTAATTTTGGAAATAGAAAATAATCACAGGGAGACAAATCTGGGGAATAGCGTGGATGGTTGAGAACACACATTTGTTCTGGGGCCTAAAATTCCTGTTCTGGTGATGTCTCTTGGGTACTCAACCTGCTGATGTTTATGTTCATCGGACAATAAATGTGCTACAAACCTGCAAGCAACCTTTTCTTGCCAAAATCTTGCACTAAAATTTTACGAAGGGTCTCTCTATTATTACCATATAAATCTGCTATCCTCTTGACAGTAAAACAACGATCTTCTTGTACCTGTTCTGTGACTTTTGCAATGAGTTAATCATTACAAACAGAAATTGGGCGTCCAGATCTAGGTGCATTAGTAATCATTTCTACACCACTTTTGAATCGTGAATACCACTTGAGAATCTGTCCAACAAGTTAACAATTATCCCTATAAACTTGTCGCATCAATTCAACTGTCCCAATGGCGCTTTTTCTGAGTTTTAAACAGAATTTAATGTTAGCCTTTTGCTCCATGCTGACTTCGTAACAATGCACATCTAACTAGGTCAATAAAATGGCGGTTTATTTGTCGTCTGCTTACAGGCAGCGACACAAAGTTGCCAAATATAGATGAAGGTTGCCTCTTTGGATTCCATGCATCGCTTCATAGATGGCACTTTTGTCTTGGCCTTAATAAAGTCTCACTACTTAATTGTCGGACCTTGTAAATATATATATATATATATTGCAGATGGTCATTAGGGAAAATTACGGGAACCGGTGCTCAGTAATGAGGCCTGCATGTAATGGTTGTAATCGAAGCTTACCATTGCCGAAAATGTATTATTTTCCTATACATTATTACTGTCGGCTGTTTACTGCAAATGCGCCACTCAGTTTATACCTCGAACATAACAAACAGAAAGCTCCTGCATTCGTACACCACTCATGCAGAAACAGTAACGTACGGAAGCTACCAGTTACTAACACTACAATACTAGCAGCACACGAATATTCTCGACGATAGAAAAATATCAAATTATAAATCCTAATGCGTACACGTGCAATTTGATCTCCTCTTGCACCTGGGTACAGGTGCCTGTCGGAGAGCGACAGATGGGAAACTGTTAGGCTAGAAAATGTAAAGACCCAACACTTGACCCAGCAAAGGAAGTACCTGTGATGGGACTAAATTTGCTATCTGTGCCTCATATGTCGGTTATAAATGTCTTTGTCAATTAAAAGTTAAGAAGAAAATGAAGTCTCAAGCAGCAAAGATAAAAAAATTTACACAATATACGTACAGCTAACAAAATGTTTTTTTTTTTTTTTTTTAAGAAAGGGAGCAGCAAAAACCAGACTCACGACTTCCGCATAAATTTCACAGTAAATATTTCAAACAAGGAAAGGTAAAAATAAATATGTATAGGGCCATATAAGGAAAGATATTCATAAATATTTACTTGGGGGGGGGGGGGGGCAATAAACAGGAAAGGAGAGGGAAGGGACATCACATTAGACTCTAACAAATTTGGTTCTGTCATTTCGATTCCCTTGATAATAGTGGTGTCGAGAATGTGTGAGCTTCTGTCATCCAACCAAGTTATCGCCACAGTTGTGTCAAACAATGGAGAGGTACTTAGTTATCACAATAGGATGTCTGAATCCGGGAGTCACCATGCAAGCTAGACACTTGCCTGCGGATTGGAAAGTCGTGGGTTCGGGTCCTGGTGGAGCCGGACTTTTGTTCTCTCCTTCAAAAATGACCTCGGCTCCCAGGACGACCAAATCCTGAGTGGGTACCAGGTGCAGTCCTGGGAAGTAAAGGAGGTCGGTGTGATGCTGACCTATTGGTTTATAAAAATATAGATCTAGCCCTATATATCCAATACGTCTGAAGGCGTAGAAAAGTGTCTTTTTATGTCTGAATCCAGCAGAAATCAATACTAGTGTGAATGCTTCAGTAGCTAGCGACGAGTTCTAATTCTGACTGTGTCTTAAACAGTCTGATTATATGACCGTGTTGCCTCTCCTCTGAGTGTAGAGTGTAGACCTGATCACCCTCCCCCCCCCCCCCGTTTTTTCAGGGTTTGAATGGTAATCATTTTATAATATTATCCCCACCCTCTTCCTCTCCCCCCGACTTCTCTTCATCTCTTGATGCACCGGAGTTTTTTTAGTCCCCTCCTCCTCAACCCCTTATTATATCCACAATGTATCTTTATATCCAGACTCAGTGTTTTTCGTATGGGCTTAACATTAAATTATAATCATTTTAAGATGACTAATATTATTATAATTACCTGTACACATGCCTTATGGCTACTGTCTCCAAAATACATCTTTAAAGCCAGAATCAGTGTTATTTGTATGGGCGTAACATTAAATGATAGTCATTTTAATCTGTCTATTATCATTATTATAATCTGATAAATGCGGGATTACACTTACGTCGGAAATAGACTTTTATTTTAAGAATCAGTGTTATTATTCATTGGGACGTAACATTAAATGGTGATAATTTTAGTATGTCTAGTAATATTATAACCTGAATAAATGCACGAACGCACCTATATTCATTATTTTATCCACCCTGTGTTCTTTTATTGCAGAATCGACAGCGTCCAGCTGTTCTCGGGGACCGGTCCGCAGTCATCTACTACGCAAGGCCAAACGGAAGTCACTGCGGATGTCCTTTGTTATCGTTCTAGCATTCATCGTGTGCTGGGCCCCGTATTACATCTTTTTCTTCTACGTAACATTCCTGGGGAAAGTGATCGATCCGATGATCTTCACCTGCTTCTCCTTCATCGGATTGTCGAATACCATGCTGAACCCCATTATCTACGGAGCCTTTCAACTTTGCAAGGTGCACTTTTATACTCCCAGGTTTGTCCAAAGGTCATCCGGTAGGATTGATAGCACCCCAGTAGATGGTTTAGTTCAATTATGATTTACGCTTAGCGACAGTAATTTAGATAGTTTGCATGCTACATCTTTCATTGTTTTGTTGCAACTAACGCTTTTTTGATAATAGTAGTTTATAAGAGCTTGTGGATGTTCTATGGTGTGTACAAATACGAAGCTGTTGTAGCGTAGTGGTAAGAACACTTGCTTGCTCGCCTGGTAATCATCAAAATTTACATATGCTGCCAGGTCAACCCAGCCTGAAATGGGTGTCGGGAAGATTCATAGAAAGTAATAGTTGCTTGCGAGAGTGCCCACTGGTTTATTAAAATATTGACTAGTTTTATTGACCATATACACAACAGAGTGTTGAAATGGGACCTTGAGTAACATGCATTATTATGATCATCATCATGTGGCGTCGTTAGACATAGGTCACATTGATTCTTCTGTTCTGTTATATCTCATGTAATAAAATCTATTCCGCCATATGTGTATTCTCTTATCAACGTTCATTGAAGGATTACTGTAAGATATACTAAATTTTTAACAAATGTCCAAAGAGAGGCAGTCATAATTAAACTGTTGTTGTCGCGTCGCCGCGTCCGTCTGCATCGAAATGTAACGTGCTGAACACTCTTGACATCCTTATTAACAATATTGGTAGGTTCTTTTTCACATGAACGTCCGGCCCAATATGGAGGACTGGGCGTGTCAGAATGTTTAGCTTCGAAGTTATGTTTGCTTTTGACAACGCCATTCTATTCTAGTTTCCACACATGTAGAGAAGTCTGCGGTTTCGCATCCTAAGCAACCGAGTTAAGGGCTTGCTGCAAAACTGTGAGATCTGTTTTTCATGTCGGGCACCTTTCATTTGAGTCGTGATGTTCAAAATGGCTGATAGCCAGTTTACGCGTGGGCTGGCGAAGTACCTTATGTAACAGTTTAACGAATGTATAGCCAACTTCTCGTGACCGACTATTTCCATCAACGACAAACTGCATTTCTGGTGGCGACTGTTGGATTTGGTGCCTCTTGCAACTGTCTTATGCATTTACCGCTTGCGCATATGTATGGATTGGCCTTGAGTAATTGTTTGTTACTCAGTTTTTCAAATGAGGCAGTGAGAGACCTTTAATTTGACTTTCGCTCGCGCGGGAACAGAGCACGTGTGGGGTGACCTGATAGCAGTGGGTTGAACCTCAACTAAAACAAAGTCCAAATTACAGGTTATAAAACAATAGCATGGTTATTGTATTGTCGCTCACGTGAAGCAGCCTCCTGTGTGTGTGTGTGCGTATGTGCATATATATATATATATATATATATATATATATATATATATATGTGTGTGTGTGTGTGTGTGTGTGTGTGTGTGTGAAAAAGTGAAGTGTGTTTATGCAAGGAACAGAGAGAGTGAAGCAAAAGCAGTTGGGGAAAGAAAGAATGACAGAGGAAGGGATTAGAGAGAGATAAACAGACACAGAGAGTTCATGGGAGACAGATGGGTAGATAAACAGTCCGTCAGACTGGTAGGACTGACAAAGAGATAAAGAAATACACAAGGAAAACAGTCAGAGACAGATACAGACACAAAAAGCGCAAGCGCCCCCCCCCCCCCCTTATACGCACACACGCAAGCACGCACCCACCCACATACACACACACACAAACACACACATACACGAGAGAGAGAGGGAGAGAGAGAGAGAGAGAGAGAGAGAGAGAGAGAGAGAGAGAGAGAGAGAGAGAGAGAGAGAGAGAGAGGAAATAGAAGGGGTGTATAGAGAGAGGAAATTTTAAAGGCCACAAAGATTATGTGATTCATATTTCTACAGCGTTTTCAAGCCTAATTTTACCTCGTTTTCATCAACCCAGTACACGCCATATCCCAACGTGAATCTGAAAAGCCCAGGATATTATCATTTAAAAATACATCAGGGAAAAACAACAGTTATTCGCCTATAAAATCTTCAGAGGTGAAAAGATAAAACAAAAACACTCAAACAAACACAAGACAGACATCAAAGATCTGTTAACGAGTGAGAAGATCGTGTCTGAAAGGATCAGACAGTCATGAACAGTGTAAGAAATGAATGCTAATTATCGCTTTCGTAATCCGGCTATGCATGTCTGGAAATACCTTTTGTGAGCCCTGGAGAATTTCAGCTAATGGTCAATAGTGTCGTGAAAGATTTGACGCTATATATTCCTAACTATGTGGTTTTTAAGAGTCGCTGTGAGTATGGTGGAAACCGTTGCGGTTGCCGACTATGTAGACCTATTTCCACAGCTGAAGGTGTATTGGACAGTTTGTACCAGCTCAAAATTGATTGTAGAGCAGTTGGATCTCAGACAAGATTACTTCATAGACAATTCTATCGCAGCCATTTTAGTTTGTATTGGTCTGAGAGTCTGCGTCGGTTTAAAAAAAAATACTGTGAGGATTTATATCCCCTTACCACTGGACTGTTAGGCACTGCTATATCACAACGTACCCCCCCCCCCCCCCCCCCCCCCCCCCCCCCCCCCCCCCCCCCCCCCCAAAAAAGTTGTTTTAATTACCATATTGTCAACTGTCAACGGAAGACTTTTGACAGGTGAGTCCATGATACATGTCCACGTCAACTTTATTTTTGTTTTGTTTTGTTGTTGTTGTGAATTAGCTTTTGTCTTTTAATGCATGCCGTCCCCGCAGTTAATGTCGCCTACAGTGTACCCACTCTGTCTTTGGGACTATTGAGTAGAAAGTCGTAATCTCTTGCACTGTGTGTCCCTCGTACTGTTGTCCGAAAAACCACAGGGACGGATTTTTTTTTTTTTTTTTCAGCAAATAAATCGTAATCAGCGGAAATAAAACTATTCTTGGATCGTGAAAGTGTTAAATACATTCACTAACCTTTAGGCCACAGAGCAACATTGGCTCGTATTAACACATAACTTTTGCCTTTTGCGACATAATTTGGAATAACCTTTGATAGTGCAGTACTTGAACACTCTAACTCAGAGTTTGTGTCCTTAGAGCATCAACCTTTCCGTTACCTGTTTGTTCCCCCCCCCCCCCCACTTTTTTTTCCAGTATGATACTCAGCCCAGAGGTTCACAATCTGTGGGTCGCGACGCTTTTGTGGGTCGAACTACCATTTCACAGGGGTCGCCAAAGAACATAGGAATATGTGTCTACATATTCATTGAAGATATGAGGTAGCAAGGACAGTAATTGTATGATTGGGGATCGTCACAACAGACCATTCTGAGATTATGCAAATCTTGTTCTAAATGGCGTGCCAATAGGGAAAAATCCCAGGTACACGGTTTAACATTTACCTTACTGACCTCATCAGTTACGAGACTGCGTAGGTGCTTAGCGGGCTTGCAGAAATGGCATGTAAACAGTCTTTGAGCCTCTGTGAATCTGAATAGTAGAAATATGCACAATACAGTGAAACCTCGCTTAACTAGCATAATTTGTTCCAGAATCATACTCGTTAAGCGAAACACTCGATATGCGACACAATTTTTTCTCATATAAATTAATTTAAAATACGATAATGCGTTCAGTGTCGAAACAAAAATACTCACAAAATGTTGTATATAAAGAAAATTACATACATATTGTTAGGGAGAGTGAACAATCTTCATCTTTTCTTTAAACGCGGAACGAACCCACATGGAATGCGAATTCGATTTGCAGGAAAAAACAAATTGTCGAAATAATTATTATACATACCTAATTATTTTTTTACTAGAAAGATGTCCAGAGACATTTGTTTTTGTAGACGCTTCAAAATTTGGCGAAAATGCGACACATCATTATCATTTAATAAATTTGATGCTTCTCAATTTAAGATGCAACAGTTTCCCATGCTTTAAGCATTTCTTTATTTGGCCAGAAGATTGTTGCTTTCCTGTTACTTCTTCCTCTTCCTCTGACAAACTTTCCTCAAAAACTTCTTGCTGTAAAACACAATGCAGCTCCATAAGTTCTTGAGTGGTGAGCTCTTGGCTGTGCTCTTCCACAAGCTTTTCGATATTACTTTTATTCACCTCCAATCCTATGATAGTGGTCAAATACACAACCTCGTTGACTAGAGGTTCCACAGGTACTGTCTCAAACCCCTCCAAGTCACAAATCGACAACGCTCTCCGGCCAAGGCTTCTTTCAAGAAGAAGTTAGGGTTCTCTTTGTAGCCACTTCCCCCGCCTTGTCGATCATCTTGAGGCAGGCAACGATGTGGAATTGATTTTTTTTCAAAACAGAGAGTGAAGTTGGTCCCTGCAGTCACCAGAAAACAATGCTCGAAGAGTGCTTCAGTGTAGAGCTTCTTAAAGTTAGAAATAATTTGCTGGTCCATAGGCTGGAGTAACGGAGTGGTGTTGGGAGGCAGAAACTGGATCTGGTTTAACTTAAATTCTTCAGGGACGTCATCTTGTAGGCCTGAAGGATTCATGTACAGGTATCACAATATAACACAAGTTTGAGAAAATGTGTGATCACAAGCGACACTACGATGCTACTGGAACGAGTGCTAAACACAAACTGATGTAACATGCGCACAATTCGGGTCTTCCCCTCTCCTCACCACTTGTTATGCGAAACGTTAAGCAAGTCATTCTTTTACAATTTGTTTTGCTCGTTATGCGAATTACTCGTTATGAGAGGTGCTCTTTAAGTGAGGTTCTACTGTATTAGTTAAAGTAACCAATTCTAGAGAAAGTAGGAATGTTTTAAAAAAACAAAATTAGCATAAGAAGTTACACAATGTAAACCCTGTAAAAAAATTCATAACAAACAATGTAAGAGAGTTCTAAAAAAGTTTACATGCTAGGTAAATGATTTTAAGGTAAATGTCATTACACGTCAGATAAAATACGTGGGCAGGAGACAGTCCAGCCAATGTTTGTCCTGGATGATGAGACTAACTCCCTATTAGTGTTAAGCTGAAAAATAGTTATAAATTCACTCAGCGATCCTATCTGGATCCATAATGTTTTTTTTTTTTTACAAGAAATGGTAGGTAGTTGTACCCCACCAGGACATCACAC